GCAAAAAAAGCCAATCTGGGAAAAGTCATTCAAACTAAAGTAAATGTGCCCACACAGCATTTTACCAGTATAATCGGAACAGTTTAAATTGACACCTTTAACTTACCTTGCATAATTTTCCGAAGTAGAGAAACTCTTTCACTGAAAGGAGTATTTAAGTCAAAATCTTTAGACTGTGTCTTTAGAACAAGTTCCATCTTATCAATTGTTTTTTTTCCCTTCTATCCTTTTATTGCACCTGCAGCCTGACTAAAGCCAGTGAAAGGATTCTCATTGGCTTAGTGGGCTGTGGAACAGGCTGTTTGAAAGGATCTGCCTTAATAAAAATGTATGTTCTTCTACAGATATAAAAGCAATACATGTTGTCACAGTCCTACTTGCTTGAGGCTGTATTTCCTTTCTGTGCAAATATTACAGAATAATTTGATTATTTTTAATTACCATATTTACTCAAATACAAGGTAAGGTTTTTTCCCCCCCAATCACCAAAGAAGGAAAACTCATTAAATACGTCGTCTGTTATTAAACTGCTGCTAAAGGCATCATGTGCTCAGTAATAGAGACCAGCTGTGAAGTTGATTTAAATGCAGCCGGTATGGAGAATGACTACAAAGCACATGGCTAGGGACCTACTCAAATCATGTTTTCATGATTTTTCATGGAAACCATGAAAAACAGTGGTTCCCATGAACATTGCAAAAAAATTGCAGTTTCTGAAATTGGGCACGGAATGGCTGGGAAAAAAAAATTCTAAAAAATAAAATGTTGGCTCCCCAGTGCCTAGCCCTGGAGTCTACTGGGGTGGGGATGAGGGGGAGGCAGGAAAGGAAGCTGCCATCATGAAGGGGGACATCAAAGATGGCTGCCACCCTCTTCTCCCTCCACTTCCGTGTGACCCTGCCCATCTGTCAGTCAGCAGCGAGGGGTGGGCCACACAAAAGGCATCCCTATTGGCCAGTCATTGGGCAGGGTCTTGCCATAATAAGCCCACAAAAATGGTGGCTGAGATCAGTCTGCAAAGTCACTCATCTGCTGCCTCTATTTCAGTAGGTCCTTACATATGAGCCATATGGGATAAATATACTGATACCTATAAGGATAGATTAGTGCATAGTTTCTCAACCTGTAGTATGCATACCCCTGGGAGTATGTGAGACACAGGCAGGGGGTACATTGGTACCCCAACACTCTCTCTCTTCTCTTTTCCTCTCAAAACTATGCTAAAAAATGTGCTGTGCCACACATTGCGCAACACTTTAAATTCCTCAGTAATAATTTGGTGTTCAGCCCTCCTAGCTTTGGCCAACATCACCTCTAGCCCAGGTACATACTTGAGTTGTGCACCCCTGGTTTCATAGTTTCATAGTTTCTAGGGTCGGAAGGGACCTGAGCAGATCATCTAATCCAGCCCCCTGCCATGGCAGGAAAGAGTACTGGGATCAAATGACCCCAGCAAGGTGTACATCTAGCCTCCTCTTAAAGACCCCCAGGGTAGGAGCCAGC